AGGTGCAAATCAACGGTGCAGAGACTGAACTCTTAGTCGACACAGGAGCAGCAGTGACTGTAGTTTCATCAGAACTTTTCAACAGAATTCCTGACGAAAAGCGACCTGATCTTCAGCCCCCTCACGAGCCCTTGAAACTGCAGACTGTGAACAATGAACATATTGCCATCCAAGGCATGGCCACAATCGACTTGGCCATTGGACAGCAATGTTTCCAGTGGGACGCTTATGTTGCTCCCATTGGAGACGAAGGAATTCTCGGCTATGATTTCCTCTATTTCTATGACTGCGTGTTAGAAGCACGATGCTTCATACGAATTGCCGGTAACTGGTTCAAGTGGGCGATCAAGGGCACTCCTCCATGTGCCGTGAAGATCGCACTGAAAGAGACGATCGTCATTCCCGCATGCAGTGAGTGGATAGCGGAAGGTGTCACTAACGATCAAAAACTTGGCATGAACTTTGCAGTTGTAGAGCCGGCACCAAGCGAAAGTCGAATGCAATGTCTCGTGGTCGGCAGTTCCCTTGTTGACCCCAGCCGCAAGGATATCGACATACCTGTCAGACTCATGAACACGTCACCCGAGAAGGTTGAGCTCCAAGCGGGCATGGCGCTTGGATACCTGCATGAGATTGATGAGATGCATGTAGAACTCATAGCTGAGCATGAGAATAACCATGGAGGAGGATTACGCTTTCCGCATGATGGGTGCGTGTAGAGTCCATGCACACCAGCCTACACTCGCAGTCCATTCACACGTCTCTGTCGCTCCTGACTCTCCTGCATCTTCTAGTCAGTGGTCAGAAGATCTTAATTCTCTGTATGACCAGAGCTGCGAGAATTTGCCCCCCAGCAGCAGAAGACATTGCGCGAACTGTTATCCAAACACAAGAACAGCTTTGCCAAGTCCCCGGAGGACTTGGGCAGAACATCAGTAGTGCAACACGCTATTGACACCGGCGATGCTCACCCCATACGCTTTTGACACTTTAAAGGCCGCATTGACCTGTGATGAAATAATATCTTATCCCAACAACGATGGACCTTCGACACCGATGCCTCTGATACAGGCATCGGGGCAACTCTCTCACAACATCAGTGGTGTGACCAGACGGAACGAGAAGAAGAAAGACTGATAGCATATGTTAGTCCATCCCTGACGAAAACACAACGGCGATACTGTACTACCAGAAGAGAACTACTCGTTATTGTGACTTTTGTTCAGTACTTCAGGCACTATTTGCTTGGAAGACAGTTCCTGATCCGGACTGATCACAGTGCTCTGAGGTGGATAATGTCCTTCAGGGACTCAGTGGACCAAATGGCCCGATGGCTGGAGATCATGGCCCAGTTTGACTTTAAGATTGAACATCCTGTGGGGAAGAAGCACAGCAATGCAGATGCCCTCTCTAGGGTGCCGTGTGACCCCGACGATTGTCCGTTCTATGACGGGACATCCATCCTCACTGACCTGCTGTGTGGTGGTTGTGTCGCAAAAAGTAAGTTGTGGTCCGATTTTCATAAAGTCGACGACGTGATCCCCCATCAGCCAGAAAAGTGTACACTACTTCTGCTGAGTACCCTGACTCGTAGCCCACACGAGTCACCATCGAATGACGTCACCCCCAAATCAGCCACACCCGTGTCCCTTGTGACAGTCCTCATGCTGATGACAACAGTGGTAACACTCCTACTCAGCTGTGTTCGTAACTTAGGTGAAAGTATTTGACGCTCGTGCAATATGTTCACCGGCGACTGCAAGGAAAGAGTTCTTGACAGCCGTTTTGTAAACACGGCTTCAACTGGAGAAACTCCCTTGCAAGTTAATATGCCCACCATCATTCGGGTTGTACGGCTTTCGAACCAAACTAAACCTGCAACTGAATCCTCTGATCCACATGGCAAAGAGTTGAGCTGTAACGTGCCCTGCATCCTCAGCACGGCTGCCAATGCCGGTTTAAGTGCCGGGCAGCTACTTGCAGAACAATAATTAATCCAACTGGACAGCAAGACGACCAAGATGACGAGGTCACGAGCGCTCGTGCCCCTTTGAGCTCCCCTGTCGATCCCCACGCCGGAAGGGCTACATCTTGGGTCGGCGGCTTCACCACGGAGGACATTGCTGCACTTCAAAGAGCAGATCCGGACCTTAGTTTCATCATTGACTTGATAACACAATCCTCCCAGAGGCCGAGCAGAGACAGAATTTTGCGTGAAAGTCCAGCCACAAGTACTATGAATTTCAGCACCATGAATTTGCAGTTAATTTGCAGTTTCACTGTGAAATTGTTTTTTCACTGCAACTTCATGGCATTCACATGGTGAAAACACCGTGAAAATAATCCCGGTTGTGACCCCTTGCCGACACCTTGAGGTCAAGTGAAAACACCGTGAAAATGCAGTGAGCCCATCTAGGGGGCCTTCCTCATTAACTTTGCGGTGGGGCTAACCCTTTAAATGCTTTACGGACCCATTATCTGAATCCCTCATAAAAAGTACCATTACCTGTCTTCTTACTGTGGTGGTGACCGGTGTAAATGTACACTGAACACCCCAATCACAATGTTCGCATCCTTGCAATGTACATGTAATCCCAGCCAGGTTGTTCATACACTCCATCATGGCCTGTAGCTGAATGAGAACATTGTAGGGACTTCAGCAAAACGACTCCCCACAAATAATGTCACCTCACAGAAACATTTACTTCAATTTTCTGTCATATTTGTGATTTATATTTAATTTGCTTGTATAGAGTTATACTCATGAATATTCTGGAAATTCATAATTCCCATGGCCATTTATGATTAATCATCGACAATAAAACAACAGTCAGCACTGAGTGCACACTGTTATGCATGGTGTTGGAGCAGAAAACACTAGTGCCAAAAAAGAATGTTGAAATTTGGGGGAAGATGCGGACCAGTGAAAATGCTTGCGGACTAGTAAAAAGCCATCACTGCTGGTCCGGCTGGCAAGTGAGAATAACGTTACGGGCAAACCCTGTCCATGCACGATGTCATATGTACACTGCTCTTGCTGGATTGGACAATGATGCACATGCTGTTGCTATCCTCGCTCGCTCTGATGCTACATTGTCGGCTTTGTTATTCCACCACTTTGTATACAGTTTCACAGTCTTTTGGCAATTCCATAATTCGGTGTGGTAACTTCACCACTCAATGTTCCTTTTGCCCACAAAAGTTGGAAATATTCATATGTTTTCTGGTATGTGGTCAAGGGGGGTTGTTGTGACATCTAACACCAAGTTTCGTCGAATTTTATGAATCGTGACACATTTTAGGGCTGGAAAAAAAACAAAAACTTGTGTCCTTCCTCCATGGTTCTACATAAGCAAAATGTGCTTATCAACTTTTCAGCTGCATCCGGCAAATTTGAGCCATCATACGTGTATCCCTCTTTTCTCACAGCTCAAAAAAGGAAAAATAAATCCTGTCTTTTCTAGGAAAGATAGGATCCTGTCTTCACAAAACAACTGCTTTACATTCACAACATGTGGAAAGAAAGTTTTGTGGTTTTCACAAGTTCCCTTTGCATTTCGCTATCATGCACGCACGCAGTATTGCTTCATGCAAGGTTTCCTCTGGTTCCCGCTGCGCCGTGCTACTGTGAAAAAGGTGTGATGGCAATGCGGCAACCAGTCCATGCATTAAAATAGCATTGTGCAATTCACTGTACACACACACAGAACTCTACGTGGCTGCATGTAGAAAAATGATGTCGCAGGAAGTACAAGTTACGTGTACTTCCCAGAACTTGATTAGTTGGATATATAAAATGTACATATTTTTTGTGTTCACAAATTTAATTTGAGGTTACATATATGTTGCTTGATCGGCCTGAGGTGCAACACGACACGACCTCACTAAAGGTTTCATTGGTGTCCGTGGGAGAGGACGTTAAACTGGCATTGGATGAAATTTCAGGCTATTCATGGTGAGAAAGACAGCAATAGGCGGAAAGGCTTGCTGTAGCACCATGCGAAGGAATATATATAAACTGGGAAGGAATATAAGTAAACTGGCATTGTTAGAGAATTATACCAGCCAACATCTACTCAGGTCATTTGCAAGAGTATGAGCCGTATGCACGACTGTCGACCGTGCAATGTAACAGTCACGCTGCGCGCTAGCTACGTGTTTACATGTAGCACATAAGCCTCGTACATTAAGCAGGCAATCACAACTGTTCAGGCTGTGGAATTATACCGTGAACTTGAAAGTGCTGCGCCGGTGATTGAAAACACGAGTCATTAAATGTGAGGAAAGTTTAGAAAATGTGGCAGTGTTCCTCAAATGACCACTGCCGGTTGGGCCATTGATTTTGGAGAATGCAGTGGCTCAATGAATTTTTTAGTGGCCCCGTGCCAGCAGAGCATCATTAAGATTGAGCGCGCATGAGGCATGAGTGTCAAGGGCTGACACGACAGTGGATCTTGCTAGAGTACGGTCCCGTTGAGTTCGTGATGAGCCCCTGTTTAGGTCTTTAGTTTACACTCCAGACCTAAACGGGTATGAACTAGCCAATGGTACTAGCGAGAGTTGTAGCGGCGCATCACTGCTATGTCCGAACCGATTGCTGGGCGAGACACCCCCGTGTCCCTCGCCACCCTTGTCTTGCTAACTAGTCCCCGTCTCTACGCTGAGCCAATGGTACATGTACATAGTGCGGTGACTTTGGCAGTTAATTTCACTATACCGTATGACCGCTGTACCGAACATTTAGCCTGGACCCCATTGCGTGCGTTACAGCGGTGTTCCACTGTATGTGATTTATTGACAAAAAACCAGCAGGAAATCACTTGATGTAAAAACTAGTTGACCAATTTTAAAATTGAAAACTCTACAGGTGGCCATCTTGGAAAAACGTAAAATATGAATGATATCAAGCTTTTATTGGTGAAGGTCACAGTTTATGGAGGTAAATATTCAGTGAACTTTGTGAGCAATTGATATTAAGAAGCATTATTCATTTTTCTCAGATATGTTTCTGGTTAGTGGAGAATGGCTTCGCTGTGCTGATTGTGGCCTGTGATACATTTCAAGCTGGTGCCGTCGAACAACTGCACACCCACACTAGACACCTGAATGCGCTGCATCCAGCAGAGAAACATGGAGGGCGCTCTCTGGTCCAGCTGTATGAGAAAGGTTATGGAAAGGATGCAGCTGGTATTGCCATGGAAGCCATTAAGTATGGTACGTGATTTCTCATTGGCTGAAAAAATATGGTACTTCATTTTTGATTGAACATGAAGCGATGTGACTGCGTTTACAGATGATGTCATATTATTGGACGGTGTATTAGTTTACAAAGCTTACTTACTTTTTTCATTTTTTCTAATTATTGATGGAGAATGACATACCTGTACTGAGTCTCTTTTAAGATTGGCTTTGGAAATTCAAATGAGCAGGCCTACACTGCCCTCTATCGATCATGCACAGACCCATTAGAGTGAGTCATGGTGTAACAGGGTAAATAATTTTTTTTTGCTCACAGCTCGGGATTGTCACTTTGACATTGTGTTGATTAAAACAGCTGGGTGGATGCAAGACAATGAGCCACTCATGAGAGCTCTATCCAAGGTGAGCCATCCTCTATATTGTCAAGGTTTCCTATCAAGCTACATTAATACAACTAAAGAGAGGCTGCACTTGCAAATCTTGGCTTTTGAATTGGTATGTACCAAAGAGAGGCTGCACTGGCAAGCTTTGGCTCCTTGAATTGGTATGTACCAAAGAGAGACTGCCTTGGCTCCTTGAATTGGTATGAACCAAAGAGAGGCTGCACTGGCAAGCCTTGGCTCCTTGAATTGGTTTGTAACAAAGTAAGGCTGCACAAGCAAGCCATTACAATAAACAATCTATTTAGTTACAACATTAAAGAGAATGTAAAGCCCAGCTGTGATTTCAGTGTAGGAGTCCTTTGTTAATAGTTTTCATGTTTACCTTTCTTAATTCTCCTCAAACAGCTCATCAAGATCAACCAGCCAGATCTCGTTCTGTTTGTGGGAGAGGCCTTGGTTGTAACGAAGTAGTGGACCAATTGACTAAGTTCAGCCTCGCAGCTGACGACTCAGACATGAACCAGCCCCAACCGATTGATGGCATTGTGATCACCAAATTTGACACCATCAACAATAAGGTAGGTAGCTGTGAGCTACGACATTGTTACAGAGCAGAGTGACTGGGTACCTGACTGATGCTGTCGGGAACCAGACTCCAATTATGAGATCATCTACCAACAGTGCAGATCTCTTAAATTTCATGACGTGTTTGCTGCAAATTTGTTGTCCATGAAACCCGAAACTTTAGAGATCAAATTTGTTGTCCATGAAACCTGAAACTTTAGAGATCAAAGATGTTTTGTCTAGGCCCCCCCCGCCATAAGAAATTGCACCCTCTAAGCTGTAAACAGACCATTGCATGGAAAGGTATTGTGCGACTTACATCACCTTTTTCTGAAATGAGTCACATATTTTGTGATGGTCATCCCTTCGCTTCTCCCTGCAGGTTGGTGCCGCTATCTCAATGACCTACACCACTGGTCAGCCCACGGTATTTGTTGGTACCGGTCAGACATAAGCTGAACGTCAAGGCTGTGGTCAAGGCTCTACTGAAAAACTAAGATGTGCGGAGCGACGGTGATTCAACATTGTTACAATAGCAATGAAATGGAATTGTGATCATCCATTACAACAAGAATGTAATATGTTAATTTTGATTTGTCAGGAGAATGACAGGCAACTTACTAATGATTTGTCACAGAACTATGTTTCATTTAAAAATTTGTTGAATCTTGACCTAAAACTGCCAAACGTTTTGGACATTTCAAACAATAACAATTAACAATTTTGCTTTCTGCAGTGGAAAAGGCCATCGTTTTTGTAATTTCAAAACCTGACCCACTTTGTTCAGTCTGTCTGCATTTTTTTGCTTGGAATTTCAACAAATAAAAAATAAAATGCTTGGAAGATTTGAGCTATCAAGAGTGGACTTCAGACACTATCGTTTGCCAATTTCTCTCTGAAATTAAAGCCAAAACACAGGCATAGTCAGTATTCAGATTGAAGACACAAAGACAAAAGAGTTTGTTTAATACCAACTCAAGGAATACTGTTTGATCATGATGGCTCTTGAGTATAGGATGCTGAGATCTGTTCAGAGAAAAGTGGGAAATTTCAGTGTTACATTTAAAACATTCACTTATATTACAAATCACTAATTTATCAGAAGAAATATAAATCTGTGTTTTAAAAAAAAAATTAGACTTGATCGTTGCATTCTGAATTCTCTCTGGATGTTCAGTTTATTCTTTCCGTCATGCAATTTTGGAAAATCCTCAACTTGATGAGCGTCGACAAAGGTGATATTGTTACGTTTAAGTTGTTATCTTGCTGGTAATTTCTTTTCTCTGTCCTCCTAATGTTTGTGAGTTTGATGTAACTTTCTTCAAACTCATATTTGTTCTTTCCTTTGTGAGTCATTGAAGGGTGAGGGTTGTGCAGAAGGAAGCCAAAGGCATTGTTAAATGGTTGACATGTAAAAAACTGAGGTTTGGTTTGCCCTGGAGCATTGGAGGGTGCTATGACGAGGGTATTGAAAATGTGGTGGAGATAATATGATGTTGTTGATATCAAGTGTTTCTCATATCTAAACATTTAATATGTCATGACCAGAATAGAGATTGATTTGACTCGATCAGTATTAATTGACTTCTGAATAATGCTAAGATAGTTTAAGTTGAATTGCAAATTTTTTTTATTTTTCAGGTCGAGTCTGAGCGGCCTGTTCTTGACGCGTGTTTCTTTTCTCGCGTTCAAATGGCGGGAACACGACTTAAGAACACTGTTTCCAGAACAGGATCATGCACCACCTCCTCGTCAGGGTTTTGCAGGAACACACAGGAAAACTCGTGAGATTTTGATTTTTGAACAGCCGTGAAAAATATCGAGATGGCTCACAAAACCAGAGACAATGGGAAATTTTACAAAATTAACAATAATCATTTTCCATAGCAAAGAAATGAATGTTCCTTTTTAAATAGAAAAGAATTCAGCCCACTGGCAGCTTTCCAAAGGCTGAGTTCGGGCAGCTTGTTCTCACATGTTCGGAAACAGCTCGATTTGATGTTTGTGGGTCGGCGGTTCGAATGCTTGGAACGTACAACCGGTTATCGCTACTAGTAACTTGCATGCAACATGGCGGCGTCCTTGTAGATTCTTCGAGAGCTAATGTTTAAGCTAACTTCTGTTCCATTCAAAAAATCATATCTGTCGTTGAAAATTATTGATGTTTATTGTGCAAAACTTTCCATTGTCTCCAGTTTTGTAAGCCATCTCGACAGTTTTGCAGCTTTTCAAAAATCAAATCTCACAAGTTTTCCAGCGTGTTCGTGTAAAACCCTAACAAGGAGGTGGTGTGTGAACTTGTTCCGAGAACAGTGTTCTTGTGTCATGTTTCGGCTGTTCGAGCGCGAGAACGCGAAACCCTTTTCAAGAATAGGCTGCCCGAACTCGACGCGAAATGTATCCTGATTTGGTAAAGTCATGGGGGCGCTGTTTCTCAGAAATTGTCATTGTTACTAACCTCAGTTAACTCAACAGAGGGCGCCATTCAAATTTTTCCTATACGACTGTGTTCAATAGAGGTTATGCTTCTCTTGTCAATAGACATGGCATACTTTCCTCACTTTTGAGTGCTGAATTGTTTTATAAAATCGTTTTGTCATTCGCATTGGCTGCAACGCCGGCTTTGCATGTGTTTTCCTGTTTTGACGTGAATATAGGTTTCTGATCCTCTGTACTGATTTTCATGGGTCACAAAGTCTGGTAACCAAGCAGTGTGACCGTCAAGAATTTGGACTTTGCCATTCCTCTAGGAAGTTTCCCTGGAGGTCCTATTGAGGGCGCTATAATCATAAAAGGTTGCCTTTCTGGATGAAGTCGTGAGGGCGCTGTTGCTTACAAATGGCGTTGGTCAACTTTCTTTTCAACAGAGGGCGCTATTTTTCTTTGCTGGATATTGTTCACTAGAGGGCGCTACTCGTCAATTGGAGGTCGCTAATTATTTATTGAACAGAGGGCGCTATAATATTTTGAATAGAATGCCCTAAATATTAAATCAATAGAGGGCGCTAAGGTATTTTTCAATAGAGGGCGCCATGTAATTATTCATTAGAGGGCGCTATAATATTTTTCGATAGAGGGCGCTAAATGTTGACTCAACAGAGGGCGCTATGATATTTTTCGATAGAGGGCGCTAAATATTGATTCAACAGAGGGCGCTATAATATTTTTCAATAGAGGGCGCTAAATATTGATTCAACAGAGGGCGGTAAAATTTTTTCAAAAGAAGGCGCTAAATATTTAAAGGTTTTTTAACTTCCTGTTTTCAATAAGGGTGTTATTATTGGCAATTTGTTGGCGCGATCCACGTACGTTTGCGGCTTACATTTAACTGGTCGACATCGACATATGTGTGGCAACATGAGGTAAGCGTTCTTTGTCTGAATCTAAATTTTGCAGGCCCGTAAACGTGGACTAATTCATGATAACAAACCCAAAAGGATTCGTACATGTTTGTAATCATGGTAATGACGTAAGGTTAGTAATACTAGGCAGGGCTGACATGTACATGTGTGACATGTTATGTACATGTTTTTGTAAATAGGCCTATGTTGATCACTTTATCATGTTTATGAAACGTTTGCATGCCATGATGATGATGATGGTGAACTTAGGCATGTTGTTAAGGCTATGCCTAATACACGTAACTGATTATAGCCAATTAAAGCCCAACTCATGTCCTTATGGTAACGGACCAAGGCCCAAGTTATTCCCACATCAGTTCCAACTGCGACAGTGTGCATGAGTGGCATGATTATCTTGTAAAATCAAACATTTTCATTGTCATTAGTTGTAAGTCATGTACATGTACACGTAAGCATGGTAAGTGGTTGCACTGGCAGCAATCACAAACACGTACTGAGTGACAAATGTATACAAACTGCTTTTGTGCTGATTGTTTGTTGGATTATAATTTGTAATGCCGATTGTCATCAACTATTTTGGGCCATGTGTTGCAAATTCAACGAAGTTGCTGACTGAATTGGACTCTATAAATCACCTTTTTAATATTTGGACATGGTCGGGCAGTTGTAGAGTCCAAGTACCATCCATATACATGTACTTTTGCTTCCATTAATTCATTTCACCCAAAATGTAGCTCATGTGCCGTCGTACCCCGAATCAAAATCCTCCGAATTCACCTCCAAAATGGTCCTGAAACTGTCTAATGCACCCAGCCCAGGACTAAGCGAGAATTGGAGATTCCAATAAATTTGGTAACTGTTTACTCACATGTAGAAAGAAAAGAGAAATTCCCCTTAGAATTGGAAATACTCTTGTCTTTTTCTCTTGTCATTCTTTATTTAGTGATTCAAACGGTATGTTAATTAATGTACATGTATCTAAAGATAACATCATGACCAAAGACGGTCGCGATGCACTGGCCATGTGCCAAGCTAGCCGACAATTCATAAAGCAATGTCGGCGTGCGCATTCCTTAGCAGCGCAACGTCCGCTTTAGTCCTCAATATGTTTGTCCGCTGAGGAATGACAAGAGTCATTTCACAGAGAAAGGAAGAAGTTTAAAAAATCCAAGCAATTGAAAGACGGATGAAAAAATGAAGGAAATGGAAGTCTACCCCTTCTTTTGGTTTTGGTATCATTTCTTTAATGAAGTCACTGATCTGTTCTCGTTGCTGAAGTCAACTCTCAGAGTCAGTAATCACAATTGTTTTTTTTCCTCATGTTTGTTTTTCTATAGAAGCAAGCGTAGGAGAGAGTCAAGTTCCAATGAGAACTGTAGTCATGGTGACTCTGACAGTGATGAGGAACAAGAACAGTGGATGGAAACAACAGCAGGTAGAAACGTTGTCTTTTTTCAGTCATGTTTGTCGAGAAATAAGTTTTTGCTGTTACATTTGTCCCTGGCACTTAAGCTCTGAGGTTCTTTTGATAGTAAGATCCGTCAATATATTGATAATATCCAGTGTATCGATTTTGCTTTGATATCCTCATGAATGAAAAAAATGAAGCTACGTGTAAAGTGATAGTTGTTACTGACAGAATCTGCGCACTCTCTACGTACATGCAATGTGTATTCAGGTCATATTATGGCATAGCAATTTCATCAATGGTGATCGGTTGAAGGAGAAACTTACTGTCCCGCAGCCAGGAAGCAATGAAGCTAGCTGCTCAAATAGTGAATTGGCCGGAGAATGCATTTGAATATTGAAGCAATGAAGCTAGCTGCTCAGATAGCGAATTGGCCAGGAAATGCATTTGAATATTTATGCAATGAAGCTAGCTGCTCAGATAGGGGATTGGCCGGAGAATGCATTTGAATATTGAAGCAATGAAGCTACATGTACATGTAGCTGCTCAGATAGCGAATTGGCCAGGAAATGCATTTGAATATTCTGACCGCAGGTCGTTGCTGTTGTCATGGTTGTCAGGTGCTCGTTTATTTGGGGAAGATTGAAAAAGCTCACAAAACCAGCGAATTTGTTGCATGCTGCATGGTTAGGACCAATTGGTAGGGACGTACATGTAAGCTGCCTAACCACAAATGGTGTTCAGTATTATGCGATTGGTTTTGAGCTTGAAAACATATGTCAATAAAAATTGATATATTGATATTATCGATATCAGGCCGCTGATATACATGTACATGTACGTATGTACCAATATTGGTAATTTTCTATAATCAATGGAGCTTATTTGATAGAAGAGCACACTTCAAGAAATCCCCACTCACGTACTAGGTCGAGTTTGGGCGGCCTGTTCTTGACACGGGTTTCATGTTCTCGAGCTCGAATGGAGAGAACATGACCCAAGAACATTGTTCTCTGAAAAAGATAACACACCACCTCCTCATCACAAAAACACACAGGAAAACTCGTGAAATTTTGAGTTTTGAACAGCTGCAAAAAATAGCAAAATGGCTTACATGTAGATACATGTACATGTGTACAAAGCCGCAGACAATGAGAAATTTTGCAAGATTAACATTAACCCTAGCCCCCTAGGCCCTTTTTGCTAGTGATCCTCCTCAATCCTCCAATTTCGGGGTGAAAAAAAATTGGATTATCCCTCAATCCACTAACTACATGTATATGTGCATTTACCAGCTCAAACCAGTTGTATATTCCCAGTGTTCGAGCAACTGACCCATGAACAACATATCGAGCTGTTCACGAACATGTACGAGAACAAGCTGTCCGAAGTCAGCCTTCATATCCAGTTCTGTGATGTTTAAAGTACAGAAACATGTAAAAGTAGTCCTTGGTACAATGTACCTTCATTTGTTTGTACATGCAGGGTTTGCCCTTAACTTTTTTTTCTTACTTGCCAGCCGGACCAGCAGTGATGGCTTTTTACTAGTCCGCAAGCATTTTCACTAGTCCGCGTCTTCCCCCAAATTTCAACATTCTTTTTTGGCACAAGTGTTTTCTGGTCCAACATCATGCATAACAGTGTGCACTTGGTGCTGACTGTTGTTTAATTGCTGATGAGTAATCATAAATGGCCGTGGGAATCAGAATTTCCAGAATATTCATGAGTATAACTCTACTCAAGCAAATTAAACACACGAAGTGGTTACCTGCTGAAAATTGTTTGTTTAATTCACAATCCAAGAGACAGAAAAAAAAATCATCATGAACAGTTTATGTACATGTATGTTTTATGCAGTATTCACATGTACACGCACATATGTACATGTGCTGTTCGGTCCCTGTACATGTACTGTGTCCAGTACCTGTGGGGTGCATTCCACCAAATGGTTGTATTTTTCTGTGTGGGCTCATTAATATTTGGTGATCCCACAGGGTTTTTACAATAAGACATGCTATAATCAGGAGGGATCATAGAAATATTTCTATAAATCCCAAATTTGGGATTGATAATTTCCAGCTCAGGGTATTTCTTTCAAAAGTGGCAGGCGGCTAAATTCAGAGCTGAGTGCAAAGTTTTACTACTATTTTGGAGGTCTCTTTGGGGAAAGGCAAATAAAAATAATTTTCGTGGCTAACCCTTTTTTCCAAGAGTCAACAGGCAGCGCTATTTCGGTCTGATTTTGAAATGTTTTTTACGGATGCGTCTTTGGTGTAGTGCAACCTGTAGGGCGAAAATCAAACATGAAATCACAATCGTGACATCGCTGGTGTCACAACTACCAATGACCAATCAGAAAAATCAGTAATGCGTATACACACA